GTTTCTGTTTTTGTTGTTTGGTTTCCTGTTTTGCTTTTTGTATTTTGTGCTTAATTTTATTTTTATTCCTATTTGCTTTTGCATCCTATTGAGTTATTTCTTTGAATATATTAAGACATTTGGGTTGCTGTATTTGTAAATTTTGTTAGTATTTTTCTTTTAGTGAAGTGGAGCACCATTTTGTTGGGGAGGCTAGGCACCCCGGGTGAGGTTCCTACACATTGCATGTAAGTAAAGGCACCGGGACACGATTGTTCTCAAGATTGCTGTGAGACTTGCTGTGAGGTTTGCTGTGTTTCACTGAGGTGAGTAGTGGTGGCACCTTTAGGCATCCCTTCATAGTAGTCTGCCTCCCCCCTGATGGCCTCTGCTCACTCTTTTATTTAGGTTATGTTGGGCTGAGTTTTTTTAGATATTTTACCACATCTCTGGTTTTTAGATGGTAATTGTAAGGCCTTTTTTTAGACAATATTGTAATAAAAATGTTTATAATTCCTTTCAGTGTTCGTTGATTCTGTTTTATTTTTGACTTGTTAATTTTTCCTTCTTTCTTTGCAGTTCCAGCCCTGCCTGTTTATTTTGATTTTCAATAAATAATTCATTTATTCAAACAATACGTCTCTGTCCTGTTTCAGAACGAATCTGTGTGCCTTACTTATCTTCCAACGCTAATATTTTTGAGGTATTTCCTGGGGTGCAATTCCCCAGGTGGTGTTGTTGGTTCTCCCCCTCATACTACTTGGTGGCCTCTTTCACCTCACCACGCCACACCAACATATTACCAGTCATTCAGAAAACCCAAATTCTGTTACAAAACTGGGATAAATTGTATATTTCCTTGATTGGCAGACTCAATTTGGTAAAAATGATTGTAACTCCCAAGATCAATTATATCACTTGCATGTTACCACTGCATCTTCCTCCCTCACTACTTAAAACATAACGGGATGACAGAAGTTTATTTGGTCAGGAAAAAAACCCATGTTTAATCGGACCAAGCTATATGCTGCAAAAGACAAGGGGGGATTAGCACTATCACGAATAGACTGGTATCATTTGTCATTTTCTTTATCTCAGCTATCTAAAATTCACCTACCCCCTACAAGGACCCCTCTGTGGGTCAGGATAGAAGAGCAACTAGTGTATCCTTTTTCTGTGGAGGCCTTCCTTTCACAAACAGACAGGCCGGTTCCCTTCCAAGACCCGGTACTGGCTTTTTCCAGAGAGTCTTGGAGAATAGCACATCAAATAACAAAAGCCGATCCATATTTATCAAGCAGATCCTCCATATGGTATAACAAGAAACTGTTAATAGATAAGAAGAGTTTCTTTTGGGATAAATGGATTAGGTCTGGTATTCACATTCTTGAGGATGTGATGGGAGATGTTGGATTCAGATCCTTTGACGAAATTAAAAATATATAATTAGGGGTGTGGTCGAGGTCTGGTCGAGGTGTGTCAGAATATTCTACAGCTTCAAGGTAAGTCAAACAAATTATTAATAGACATCGGAAAGTACTAGAATGTGACCTGAGCCTAAACCATTTAGCTGCCTCCAGACCTTGATTTTGCTTCAAGAGAGGCAGAAAAGTGAGACACTGTTGTCAGTTCCATGTATAGTGAACCAACACAAACCAACTGGCTTTCTCAGCAAGTTTATGGGAATTATAGATGTGGAAAATGTGCGCATTGTGCCAACACATTTGATACAAAAACATTTAATCATTCCCATTTGGGAAAGAAATATAATGTAAAAGAATGTATCAATTGTCTTTCCACTCATGTAATTTATGTGCTTATTTGCCCATGTGGCTTGATGTATGTTGGCCAAACAAAACGCAATCTGAAGTTGAGGATTGCTGAGCATAAAGCGGCCATCAGAAACAATAAACTTGATTATGCTATCGCCAGACATTACAAAGATAAAAATCATGGTTCTGACAGCTTCCCTCAGATTTATTGGAATTGAGAGAGTGTTGCCTAATCCTAGAGGGGGGAACATCATCAAACAGCTCCTGAGAAGGGAAGCGTTTTGGATTAATGAACTGTCTACTGTTGAACCTTTTGGAATGAATGATTCACAGGATTTGAGTTGTTTTCTTTAACCTGTGTATTTCTTTTTCTCCCCGTAGGACACGTAGGGAAAGTTGAGCCATCACCCTGCGTAGGGAAAGCTGTATCATCCCGCGTAGGGAAAGTCGAGCCTGCACTATCACCTGTGTAGCAGTGAGTAAGGGATAGATTTATAGGATGTATACTATTCTGCATAAAGATATTGGTATTTCTGTATATAGGTACTGGCTGTGGTCTCAAGTTGGGTTATAGTACTTTGTAGTATTTCTACTTTATTTCCTCTCTTTGTGTATT